TTGATAAAAATTGTCTTCATTTCTGATACTCATTTTACTGACACTACTTTCTCCTAGTAATGTGAGTTTCAGACAACTTCCTTCATAATTGGATTCACTAGTGTTCTCTTCCTTCACCTAAAAGAACCTCTGCAAAATGGATGCATCTATGAATTAATATATTCACACACATTTTATTTATACATACTTGATATTATACTGAATGACACAGAACTTTATAGAACTTATTTTATTTCTCTAATATCTCTCTCTTAAAGCTGATTAAGACATTGCCACATACAATGGGCAATACAAGAGGTCATTCAGACCATACATGTTACTTTTAACCATATATGAAGTAAAATAAATGGTCATCCTGACAGGATTATCTGCTTAACTTTTTCAAGGAAAATGTGTATATATTGAGAGAAGGAAACTAAATATAATTTTACTATGAGATAGCATATAGAAAATATGTGTTCTCAGAATTACTCTTTTAGGATATCCAGATATACGTTTTAAAAACTATCAGATTTCCTTTGACATAGGGTGGGGTTCTATGCTCCATTCACCTTTTGGTGGGGTTTTGTCTGGCTTGAACTTGTGCAGGTCATGTGCATGCTGCCACAGTCCCTGGGAGTACATATGGTCATCTTCCCTGTTGTGTCTAGATACGGCTATTTCTTTGGAGCTGTCCACCACCTCTGGCTCTTCATTCTTACAATCCTCTATCCCCTCTTCCACATAGATCTCTGAGCAATGAGAGGATGGATGGGATGGAAAGAGAAAATTAGGTTCTTGTTGTTGCTTCCAATGTAGTGGCATGGGATATATAAACCACACTTTGATACAGACCTCATGCTAAGGAGTAGTTGCCTAATACAAATTGAACTACATGCTTTTTAATGCTTTATTTTCTTTTTGGTTTGCTTTTGGCTTTCTTTTTTGTTATTTCAAGAGAAAGAAAGGACATGGAGTTGGGTGGGTAGGGATGGGACAGAGTTGGGGAGAGTTGGGATTGGGTAAGAATATGATAATATATTACATGAAATTCTTGTAGAATAAATATAACTACATTTTCCTAAGTAACTATAAATGTATGCATGTGTCCTTCTGTTTCATTAGGCTGAAGGACAACTGTAGCATGAATTATTAGAAGGTGTTATTAATAAAAACAAACCCAGTGCCAGTTATTGGGGTGAACGCTGAAAGATCAGAGAAGCAGAACAAACCACAGCTTCCTCACCTCGCTAGTTCCTCAGCTGATCCTGTTTCCTCAAGACTGGAAGCCCCTAAGTCCTCATCCAAATGGATCTCAGTTGAACTGCTGCTCAAAACCCAAAGTTTAATCAGCCAAAAGCTTCTAGTTTCTGGTCCTCATACCTTATATGCCTTTCTGTTTCCTGCCATCACTTCCTGGGATTAAAGGTGTGTGTCACCATGCATGGCTGTTTCCAGTGTGACTTTGAACTCACAGAAATTCAGACAGATCTCTGCCTTGGGAATGCTAGGATTAAAGGTGTGTGTGCCACCATTTTCTGGCCTCTATATCTAGTGGCTGTTCTGTTCTCTGACCCTAGATAAGTTTATTAGGGTGCACAATATTTTGGGGAACACAATATCACCACAGACAAGAGGGCAACATTTGGAATAAAAATAATGGAGGAGCTAGAGGTATTGCTTAGCAGTTGCAAGAGTAAGTTTCTCCAGAAGAGGACCAGTCTCAGCTCCCAGAATCCACAACTTGTAACTCTCAACCACTTGTAACTCCATCTCCAGGGCATCCACAGCCTTTTTCTGGCCTTTGCAGTCGGTGCACATTTGAGCATAAACCCACACTCAGACACTTATGTACAAACATATATGCATAATTAACATAAAAATTAAGTCTTAAAGAAGAAGAAACAAAAAAGAATGAAAGGGAAATTCATAAAGAGCTAGATATCTTGTCATACAAACGGACACCACTTGTAAAATGTGTCATTTTCACTTAGTTTTTTACACATTTTTATTTTTAGTTTCTTTGTTTGAAAGGTTCTAAAGGTGCTATACATCTCCTGAAGCGGCTGTCATCATACAATGGATAATTTCCCTGAATTGTTTGGCACACTGTATTCCGCAGCAGCCCTTGGATAAATATAAGACACCTGTAAACTTTTCTCAGATAAATGTAATTGTATTGGCAATATATTTTCACCTTCATGATCATTATTCTCTCCAGCATGCTGCATTGGCTTTCTGTTCAAATAAATTATGGGTAGACAGGTATATCCATGATACATGAATATCATATATAGTTATATGATAGATACTAGGTAGGTAGACAGATATTACATTGACACTATGGTCACATTGAAGAAGATACACACATCAATCAGAAACATGCTTTGCCTTCTCTATTCCTCACAGCACTTGAGAACATTTTGTTTTAACATTGATAATAGGGGAATATCGAAAGAGTAACCCTGTTTATACTTTAACAACATACATTTTATGCTAGCGAGAGGCCTTACCAGCAAGTGTTGCCTGCCGATCTGCAGGTATCAGTTCCCTGTTTCCACTCTTCTCCTGCCTCTCCTGCTGGATGCCAGTCTTTCTCTTGGAGCCCACATGCTACATCCCTGCCTGGATACCGAAGCTTCTCTCTTCACTCTTTAAGCTTTAAACAAGTGGAAGAGCACCAGAACGGTTTCTTTTTGTACTTTCCTCATTTTCAGTAGGTCTCACTAACCTGGATGTGAGAGTTAGCAAAATCACAATAGAGTTCGGCTAGTTTGCTGCACTCCAGGTACTGTAGGTGCCGCACAGTCAGGGTCTTATCAGAGTGGCTCTAAAGCCCTTTCACTGTGTTTCAGATGAAATTCATCATCATTCTCCAATTACTTATTTTGGATTTAAAATTGTATTATGAAATATCAATTGACAGACATGTCAGAAGATGGATAAAAATGGATTTACTGGTTTTTATTGGTAGTGTTTCCTGTTTATTGAATAAATATATTTCCTTTAAGGTCTAATAGTGTTAGAATAGTAGTAAAAATAAAACACTGGCATTTTCTTAAATACTGGGTAGAAATAAAAACAATACAAGGCACATGGTGGGACTGTGATAAATGTGGAAAATGTACAGTAGCGTTTATAAACTAATAACATTTTATCCATATCACATGAAGGTAACACACCGCAACCATGCTTGCCTTTCAATTTTTGAAAACATGAATGCATGATAATGTACAAAGAGTGTGTGATCTTGTAACACTTGACTCTAAGTGGAAGGTCTCAGTCAAATCCATCCTCTGAAGGCTCAGGGAACCCTGCAGAAGAGGAAGTAAAAAGATGGGAAGAGCTGGAGATCGAGAACACCAAGAAAACAAAGACCTTGCATGACCAATTTACAGAGGAACTCACAGAAGCAGTGGCATCATACACAGGACCTACACAGGTCCAGGCCAGACAGGCTCCCAGCACTGAGAGGGCAAAGGGCCACAGGGCCACATCCATCTCCCAGGAACTGTTTCCAGTAGATAGCCACTTGTAAATGAAAAATTAATTTTTTCCAGTGGAATCACACTGGATGTACAAACCAATCTTAAGGGCAGGTCCCAAGCCCAGTAGTGGATGGCCAACACAAAGGAACACAATGTCATTGCCACTTTTTTTTTTTTTACCCTTATAGGTCCTTTGAGTACATGCTGTGGTTTCCAGTTTTATGTTTTCAAGGGATTTCTGTGTCTATAAACACATGTGTATATGTGTCTTTGTTGATGTGTGTTTCTTGCTTTTCCTTTGGCTCTTTTTTCTTCTATTTGTATGTTTGCTTTGTCTTACTCTGGCTTATTATTTTTTTTAAATTTCATCTTATTTTACATTATTACTGTTATTATTTTTACATGCCTGTTTTACATTCTGAGGAAAGGGAGAAAGAAAGATTGTGGATTTGGGTGGGTGAGGAAGTAGAGGGGATCTGAAATTACTTGGGGGAAGGGAAGATGTGATCAGATATATTGTATGAAAAGAAAATCCACTTTAAATTAAAAATGTGAAAGTGTAACAAGGTCTTTCTACATTAATCACTGTACATATTTAACGAGGCAGTGACAATTTCAAAGACCCTGAGATATGTACAGGAGGTAGAAAGTGACTCCATGATTTGAATATGATTTCAATCATATTTGTGTGTTCTAACCTATTTCAATAATGAATTTAAATCTCTGGTACAGGCTTTTCTCTGGCTTCATGGCAGTCAGATGGCACCTTTGCTCGGTACTGATTTAGTGATGTGGCCTTCAGATAAAGAAGGAGCTATATTTGCAATTCTGCATGTGCATGCTGTGTTGGGAAGGTTCCTTCAGTGCATTTATCCCCTCTGTCATCGACACAGAGCAGGTGGTTGCCATGGGAAGCAGGACATTAATGGAAGGAGGGTCTGTCAGTGTCTTGTGAGTGCATGGACTCTGCAGTCAACAAGGAGTTGGGTTTGTGTGATTTCTTTCAGAGTGAGAGTTCTAGAGCTATTTATACTGGACAACTTGAGAGAACCTGCTTTTGTAATCTATCTCCTCCCCAGCACATTGGAAATATTTAGCCAACTTCTCCCACACAATGGGGGAAAATATATGCAAAAAGTAGCATCTAAAGTTGTCAACATCAAACTGTCAAATAAACTTAAATCTAAAGTCATCTTATAAAAATAAAATATAGGAATTTCCTGCACCTCTTCTCTGTTTTTTAGTGAGTTTTACCATGCTTTTTCAAAACACCAAAATGAAGAAGTTTGCCAAGAAATAGTGAATGTATCTCCTTATTAAGTGATTTTATCGTATTTAAGTGCTCTGAATGATAATTACATGAATTTTGGCATTCAGTGAATACCTGCTTATAAGAAGGAATGGAACATAGAATATGTGTGAGTGAAGTTATTAATAAAATAAACATCTTCTAAATACATTTAGCTCACATTTGAATGTGTGGAATTAATAGGCAGTTTTTCCTTAGTAATGCTTCTTTTTTATGTTATTTAGGGCTAACAGGAATGGTTCAGCAGCCAAGAACATTTGTTGCTCTAGCAGAGGACGTGAGTTCAGTTCCTAGCACCTACTTTGTGCCTCACAGTCATCCATAACTCTGGAGCGAAGGACCTGACACCTTCTTCTTCACTCTGGAGACACCATGCATGCACATATATGTACAGGTAAAATACTCAGACACACAAAATAAGATGAACAATTCTAAAAATCTTATTTTAAACAACTAATAAAGGAATTCTGAATACCATGAAGTTGTATCCACAACCCTGAGAGTTTTAGATAACAAATTTTGTTATATTTTGCTAAACTGTTTTCTAACAATAAAGCATTATTCAAAAATATTTCTGACTTACTTCAAAAATAAAATTCTTATTCAACATTATCTTATAATACTTTGTTTTCTCTTTGTAGTGAACAACTATAACTCAGTTGGAAAAATGCATATACATATGTAAACAAAATGAAAGAATTAAAAGCATAAGGAAGAAGTAATGAACATGGTCTGGAGATAGAATTGCAATAGGTGACACCCCCCCCTTTTAAAATAACTTGCCTAGTAGCTTTAAAGGAGATTTGGAAAACAATTTAAATACTCATCCACATATATAGTCAGTCTATAGAGATGTACTTGAAATTATTCAATAACAGTGAAAATGACTCTAGAATATTTCAATACTAGTTACTGAATCTGACACCATTCTCATGGTGTCCCTTTGTTTATTCTGAAACCAAGAACACACACTGGAACTTGTGTTCTCTAGAAGTGCTTCATCCTACAAACCAAAGATAAGGCTGATTATGAGGAAGCATTTGATATATTTTTTTTTAATTTCGAATTATACAAAAGATACAAACTTATATGGAAGTAATAGTAAATTGCAGTATAAAAACAAGATCGCTAATAGATGAACATAACTGTAATTTTTAAATATACACATATTTACTTGTATATTATATGGAAAACAGCAAAAAATGCTGTGAAATATGTAAAATTTAGAGTTCATATGAGAGCTTGAGTTTATTCAACTAATATTCATATATAATTTTTCATGCAAATTCAATATGCTCATTTTAAGGCTGAAATTGGCATATATTTTTAATATTCTTTTTATATTTATTTATAATTTCTATTGTCATGCTTAAATTTATAGTGTCAATAGTCAACACAAATATGAAATTAGTTTGGAGAGAATTCTCCAAATCTTGCTACTAGTGAAAAACGAGGAAATCTTTGGGTTTTAGCTACTGACTTCAATAGTCAAAATCATCAGAGCAGCTTTAACTGTTAAAGACCAGAATATGTTATGATATGTTTCCACTAAAGAAAAAAATTGACAGCAAAACAGTGAACATTTTAAAAATAGAGATTTATCAGCTACACATGTCAACTCTGACTGAAAAATACTGACTAACTTACAAAGAAGGAAATTATTTTGTGAGTTATAAGAAATGAAAATAATGAAATATATTTCATCAATGAATAAGTATGTACCTGTGACTTAACAACTTTCTTCAATGAAGCTGGATTAATTAAGTCTTGAAACCTAATAAATAAGGAAAATAAAATTATGTACTATTTATATACATCCAAAATTATGTACATACTATTGTAAGAACAGTTAAGATTCATGAAAATACCAAATTAAAAACACAGAAGAAATTTCCACATGATACCTAAAAGAGTATACATATGAATATGTTCGTTAAAACTCAACAAGGACTGTAAGATTCTGTCTTTACTTTGTGAGAACATGTTTTCCATGGCTTCATTTAAAAAAATATTGCAAACATCAAGACTGTAAGGGTAACTATGCTGTTGAAATCTACTGTCCAAAATTTGCACCCAAATTCTATGAAAAGCATGAAATGTCCTGAACATCATTTTTCAAAGATGTAGTACTAGTGAATATTAATTTCAACTTGTTATGCTGAGTATCTTGAAAAAATCCTGTAGAGTTATCCTTTGGTCATTAACGCTAGATCCCAGAAGCTCCTTGACTTAGGATCTTAAGGTCTTGATATCCAGGAATCACTCCATGTCTGCACAGCCCTCTGACAATTCAATAATCAGTGGTGATGCTAGAAACATTGACATTTTGCATGGAGACTATTTCTTCACTGAATAACACTGAGAAGCTTCTGCTCTTACTGATCACTACTTGACACAAGCTTGGGACTTTTCAGCTAGTTAGAGGCAGATTCTAAGGCAGTTCAATCAAATGGGCCCAATATAATCTTTTGGAAAGGAAGAATTGTGAATCCTTGACTGAATGCTCTTAGGTAATGCAGAAATACTATTTTTCCACACCATGGCTGAAGAAATTTGTACATTTAAAGACTGATTTACTCATCACAATGTTTTAAGCATTCAATAAAGTTGTCAATAGGGTTTTCTTATTTTTTGTTAATGCTGTATGCTATTGCATTTTACATATGCCATTTATTTGAACAGTCCTAGAGGATGAATCTGGGGCCTCCTACATGGTAGGCAATCATCTTACTGCTGAGCTGTATCTTCAGGTCTATACCTCATTTTCTTCACCCCTTAAGTGCTGATGGACACTTTTATTGATTCCATGTGACTACAGTGCAATGCAATAAAATGGTACTGTAAATTTCTCTTCAAGATCCTAATTTCAATAGCTTTAGATTTCTATGCAAATATGAGGTTGTTAAGTCGTATAGAAGTCATGTTTTGTTAAACTTGAGTATGTGCAATACTGTTTTACATAGCTGATGTGACATTTTACATTCCCACAAGGTAGTGTAGAATCTGTCTAATATCTTTACAGCATCATATTCCCAAGATTTAATATTACATGAGTCACTTAAAACTACTTATATGACATAAGAAAATCATGCTATAGAGGAGCAAAAATAACCACAACTGTCAGGGTCTAGCCAGTGAGGAAATGTAGTCATTTTTAAAGCTGATAAAGTCTCAATTATGCTGAATGAATATTTATTATAATAATATAATAGTAATATAATTATAATAATTAAAAGAAGGCTACCATGTAACACAGTGCTTAAAGGTAGCCATATGTTGGTGGAATTGTGAGGATTTGTTGAGCTTAACGATTTCATGGGTGTTCCAAGCATTCACACCACACACACACACACACACACACACACACACACACACAAACACACACACATACATACACACCTATACTCCACATCACACTACAAGGCCCTCAGGTAACCTTCAGAAGTGTTAGGTATGCATATTACATTGATTAAGGTGATGAATTAGAGGCAGTGGCATATGTTCCTATTTTAAAATTCCATTCTTTTAAAAAACTAAATGAAAAGTGTTGGGTGGGTAGGGAAGTGGACAGGATCTTGAGGAGTTGCGAGGGGGAAAGAAAATTATCTAAGTATATTGTACAAAAAGAAATATTAAATAATTTAAAAAATAATTAAAATGGGAGTGAAACTCTGTTATGAGTGAACAATTGCTTTATTGTTGTATATGAAATAAAGGGATAAATTTAGCTTAACTAATATCAAAAATTGATTTTTGATTGTAAGAAATGTAAACATTTGGGGTTTTTCTTACATAAATGTCCTTATGAGTTATTTCATGTGAGTCTTTCATTAGACAATTGTATTTCATAAGTAATTGATTAAAAGGCAAAATCTCCCTATAACAAGCAAATTAAACTTAGAAAATAAGTTGCACTTTATCACCCTGTGGATAAATTAAGTTTACCTGATTCATATGTTCCTATTGTTTTCACTTTTAACTAACTAGGATGTGTATTTGGAAACTTGATTAAACTAGTAATCAAAGTGTTAATATATGTTCAATTTATGTCTTTTGATTCATCATGTTTTGAAAATAATCTTTGAATTAAATGAAGTTTTTTATGGTTATGTTGTGAAACATAGAACAAGTACAAATTCACTAATTTTAATTTTAATTTTATTTTTTAACTTAGCATACAAGGTGTCAGGTTTATGAGTAACATTTAAATGCATGTTTATTTTTTGTTGATTCTCTCCCTATGAAGTATAAATTCCAATAAGGCAATATGTGTAAAAAATACTTTACCATATTTGAAATCCATTTCAAACATAACATATAGTCAATACAACAACAAACAAAAGAGCTGTAGAAATAATATTTGAGAAAATTTTAGTGTTTTCATTAAAAAACCAAATTAAAGTCTTCACTTGCTGCAGGTGAATTCAAGTATGCTAAAAAAAAAGAAAGAAAAAAGAAAAAAAAAGAAAAGAAAATACGAAGAAATGCTGATCAGAGTTTAGAAAACAGATCATTCTAGGAGTGAGGCACTGTTTTAAAAATCAGTTTGTATCACAAGGAGACAAGCACAGCTGTCAACCCTGAGAGTATTTTGCTTGATAAAATAATATAGTTGTCAGAGAAAATTGGGGACATAATTTTCCTACTGTACAACTTGTTCCTTCAATGACCTGATAGAAAACTAAATCTACAAGGTCAACTGCTGTAGAAGGACGTAAAAGACGGCTCCTTGGATAAAGAACTGTCCTGAAGAATGAAGACGAATGATAACAAGAAAAGCCTCCACACCGGGCAGAGCTGACAAGTTTGATGCATCAATGACCCACATCAGATCCAATTGAAGAAAGCTGGACATCAGGGACACAAGAAGCAGAGTACTCAAAAACATAAACAACTGAAACAATGGAACAACAGTGAGTCTCACGGACTAAGGTCACTGTTTTCCAAAGACTTGGTAAAGCTGTTATTGAATAATGATTTCAATAGACTATTGTAACTACCGTTAGATTTCAGTAGGCTCTTCACTGTCATGGTTGGAAAAACAAGGTGTTTACAGTGGAAAAATGAAAGGTTTAATTTATTAGTTATAACATCCATCAACAACGAACATCAGATTTGCAGAGCAGGTATGATTGTGCACCAATATGCTCATGAATAATCACAATAAACTTTTCTAGTAGCATTAATCACACCCCAATCAAAAAAGTTTAATGTTTATCATTGTTTGAAATTTAAAACAAATACATACACACTAACCATTTTGACATATCAGGATATTTTAATATTTGTACCACTATGATTTTGACACTACAGGAAATCACAAAGTATTTTTGACTTTTAAATGCCCTTGATGCAACCCCAAATGAGGGCCTATGATTAAATGATGTTTAGTTATTCCAGTTGTCTGAAAGATGCTC